TCATAGAGGTATTTTAGTACTATTTAGTACACTAAATTTCTTTTTTCTATTTTATGTTCAAATAATGTATCTACTTTTATAGTCAGTAACAGTGTATTTTAGGCTCTCTCTTTTGCTAGATTATTTTCTGTGCAGGTTGTGGTATTTACTACACTGCTGTCCAAGTGACTGTGATCACAACTGTTCAGAGTGTTATAAAGGAGCAACCGTGGCTCCCTGTTCACATCTCAGTTTTCTGTGAGTTGAACAAATGCATTGCTGCATCCCTGAAAAACAGGCCTCAAAACCATCTTCAGAATCCAGCTTTACAAGAGGGATCTAATAGAAATGCATTATCATGGTGCTTTAGGCTTTGCCAAAGCTTATGTATTCATGCACATCTGCTGCTTAGAACATGATTCAGAATCAGCTGCTCTTCTGAACAGATTCATGCTGTAATCATAAAAGGACAACCAAATTATAGCTGAGTCAGCAGACACTTTTGTATTAGTGATATGAATAGCTTCAAGCCAGCACTGGTCATAAAAATAACTGAATATTTGTACATGAGTGGAACATGTGTGAGTCTGTATGGTGGAAAACATAGCAAGGAGGTCTCCTGAATGTATATTTCTAAACGATAAAAAAGAGAAGGTTTGGAGTATGTGCAATAATCAGATCCATTTCCTAACACTTGATATTGTACATCATTCTTTTCAAAAATGTTCTCTGATTTTTGAAACTTTTGTAAAAATGTATTTTCATTGTGTGATTACAGTTGAATTACTTTATAGACCTGCCTTTAATTTTTTTCTGTTTATTCATTTGGCAGCTTCTGCAGGTGAAAATATCTGTGTAGTATGGATTATACCAGCTGTGATCAAATTCCACTGTAGTGACTTGAAGCATTTTCATTATGTTTACTTTGTCTCTCGAGCCATTGAGTTAGTTCCAGATTTAGTATTAAGTCTTCCCAGTAGCTCGCTCCCTGGCTAGCCTCAGATATTATCCTAAATATTTACAAGAGAGGGAACTTTCCTAAATCTTGGGAGATTTGAAGGATAAACACAAGATTTGGAGATAAACACAATGTAATTCTGTGTTAAGATTTTGGGGTTTGTTTCAAAAGCAGCAGCAAACATTTGAGGGAACCACAGAACTGCAGCATGGCTGAGGTGGGCCAGCACCCCTGGAGTACACAGCCCAGCCCGAGGGTAGCTACAGCAGGATGTCTAGCACAGTGTCTAGTTGGGTTTTCAACTATGCAGCTTCAGGGCAACCTATTCCTGTGTTCAACCTCCTTTTTGTTAGCTTTAAACTTGCATTGTAATTGTGTTGGATGGAATTGATGGAATGGTAAAATCATGGAGCCTCTGACTTTTAAGTCTCTTACGTACAACTTGGGTTTTGTTAACATCTAAATGGCAATTGTGTTCTTAAACTACACTTAATATTCAAATTAATGTCTGTCTATGTTTGTGGCTATTCTGTGCATGAATGTTGGCCATTGTATCTCTTACTAAGAAATTTCTACAACAGTAATTCTTCTCATGAAAATGCACCAATTCTTAATATACTTTGAAGATTAATAAATCTTTGGCATCCTCACAAGGAATTTTCGTATTAGCATTTGCATACTTGTAATAAAACAATTTTTGTGCAGGCAAACTAGTGATCTGCATAGCATGGTACAGTAAATCACCAACAGATGGGAATGCAATCCAAGAGTCTTGATCATCTCTTCCCTACCTCTAACATGGTAATAAAATCAAAACAGAAGTTGCCAATGAACTGTACAAAGTTGTCTGGTTTAGCATATGTTTCAAAGAAATGTAACGTTTACCGTCCAGAATAACAGAAAATCAAGGCATACTTTTTCTTGGAAAAAATCATTCCAAAGTAGGTTCTCAGCTCTGAAAATACAGTATTCTGTTACTCGTGTGTTGACAACACTGCACTGTTTGTATACGTAAAAGTTGTTTATGTTGAAGTATTTACCTTGGCACTACAACATTAAGCCATGGTTTGAAAGTAGGTTGCAGCTGCTACTGCCGTGTAAGTTACCAGTCCAGGTTTATATTTGGAACTTACTTGGTTTCCTCTCTTCTATCTGCTATGGTATGTAATGAGGCAGGTGAGCAAAAGAATTCTGTGAGGGCAGTTTGTACTGCCTCCGCTTAATGCTATTTAGAGTTCTTGCAGTTAAAGCCAAAGCCATTAGATGGTGCCATGCTGTAACCAGAATTTCCTCTTCATCTGCTTAAAGCTGTATGTTCTATCTGGAACGATCTTAAATGACTAAACCTATTCTTCCGGCGCATTGAATTGTACTGGTCACCCTTAGTCATTACGTGCAAAACCCAGACAATAAATTAAATCTATAGATTTTTTTTTATTTGTTTCAATGCGAAGACTGCACCATCCAGAAAATTCAACAAAAGAGAAGGCAATGGCAGGCCAGATTTACTGCCCCTTTTTCAGTTGAAAGCAGTGTGCAATCTAAATGATTTACTTGTTTGCTAGCCCTGCATGGTGCTGTCTCCTGGGTTATCATTCACCTAAATGGCCAATGTAGTACAATGAAAATGATAGTGCAGTTACAAATTCACAGCAATTTACTGGTTAGAATCTGAAACTGGTAAATTATTTAATTTCCATTTTTTTTACTTAGTGCTCAAGGTTGAAAACTTAGGCATGGAATGCTAAAAAATAGAACAGAATTTAGCAGCTTTGTACGACCAGTTTGTAAAATTATGGTGGCAAAATGGTGGGTTTATTGTGTCTGTAGATGTTATATTCTTAGGCTTTTGTACAGCATTCGACTTACTACTGTGTGACATGTTTATTCTGATAAAAAAATAATTCTATAATATCAGCAAAGCCCATCTTAAATGAATTAAGTGCTACTTAACTGGCAGATTTCAAAAAGTAGTTGTTATTTGGGGAATCATCATTTAGGTTTTAACCATGTTTGTATGGGAGAGGTATGAGGCCTGACTCCCTGCATTTTCACATGTGAATGATAAATATAAAATCATTGCTAGTATCTAAGGATGACATAAAAATTGTTAGGGTCATGACCTGGTCAGCGTACCCATGAAGAGGAGTTTGGGCTGCTCTGTGACCTCAGCCCATGCAAACAAAACCACCTATTCATTTTAGCTAGTACAGACAAGTGTGGGGTTATAAAGCTGGGTAGTTAGGAACAAGCAGTGCAATCTATATGAAAATGGTGGCTGTATTGTAAGAAGTGAAAATGGAAAATAATCCATAGGCGAATTTTAATGATGATGCCAATGTAAATCCTTGTTTTTGAAGGAAGATTCTCCCCTGCCATTTCCATTGGTGCATGGCCATGTGGTCACCCAAATAAGGGCTAAGTATTTTCTTTGGTAGGTCAGTTTTAACCTGAATCAGTTCCTTTATCTGGCTGAATATGTGGCCTCAGAAGCTCTTGTGCTTGGCATGGTTGGGAGCTGGGGAATAATTGGATTGCTTTTTTTCAGTGGAATTTATAATTGATTATGAAAGCAAACCTTGTTACCACACAATTCAGCAGCAGTTCCCATTAAGAAGCCTTGAATAACTCTGCAGAATAATGTAAAGAAGCTAGGGAAAGGATTTTATGTGTCTATACATCTGTAATTTTACAAGAATTTTGTGTCAAGAGTGATTCAATGGTTGGAGAAAACCTTTGGAGGGGAAAGGCTTCAACATCAGTACCTGAAGGATATCAAAGAAGGACTTTATTACAATGTATAGGGCAGGCCGACCAGTAACAAAGTTCATCACCATCTGGTATGACTACCCTGAATCATGATAACATTTGGCAGTATGCTGACTACGTGTCCACTGGGGCATAAATAATGAAAGCCCAGCTGCAGCAGTATGTATTCATAGCATCAGATATCTACCTTCTGTAGGTATCTGATCAAAATCTAGGTCTTGTCAATCAGAAAACTCCTATGGATGTCAGAACATTTGCATCAAGGTCAGGTTTGAGTTTTCTTTGCATTTTCTTTAGACTTGCATTGAGACAGTATAACAGACATTTAACCTTTTCTTTATTGATACTTCATATCCTAGGAAGAAGGGAATAAATTCAAGGTATCTGTTTTTGGAAATAAGGAGAAAATAAATTCAAGATACTTTTTGTTAGGCTTTATTTCCTTTGAAATTCTAAGATAGAAAGACTTTGAGAGACCCATCTCAATTCTTTTTTTGTTCTGTTTGGCTACCAAGCATTTTATAAACCAGAATTCCTCAGATAAATGAGCATAAATAGCTCTTAAGAGAAGCAAAAGAAAGAAAGGAATAAGTCAAGTCTTGGAATGAGTATATTAATTCATTACCTTCTGCTTCTGGAGACCATGCTTTGGAAGCAGTTCAGGACAAGTGAAATGAGCTTGGTCCACTCAAGACAACATTTTTCCAAGGAACAAAACCAAGCCAGAGCCTGGCCCACTTTTTCATAACTGACTGGTTTGCTCAGGGGATGTTCAGTAGCTGGTCAGTGGGGTGTGGGGATATGAGAGGTCAGGACTAAGCTGCATCAGCAGCACTCCGCGGGGGGTGGGGTTCACTGAGTTACAGATGAAGCCAGCATGTTGGCCTGTTCCATTGTCTCAGCCAAAGCTGCTGAAAAGTGCTGAGAGTTGTGACAGCTTTTCCAAAAAGTTTGATTTTTATTTTGTTACGTAACCACAAAATAGTGGTGACAAACTGAATCCCACTATCGAAAATACTCTCTTTTAAGCTTTGAAACTGAAGGTACTTGAATAAATAGGAGTCTTCATAAATTTGAGGGGCCTGTTTCCATATGTGTTTCAACTGATCTAATTGCATTTCATTATAGAATCATCTTATTCAAATGTATCCTGTTTTTTTTCACTCCATAGTTCTAACAGATTACATTACCTATGTAAACGCAAAAGAGGAGGATTATATCACAAAGTTCTTGTACTCCTTATAGTTCACAACATCTTAGAAATGCAGAATGAGGAAGTGCATTGAATACTCACATTACATGATTATTCTAACAAACATTTGTTTGTGAGATTCTTGTCTTTACTGCTTGGATTCCACTTGCTTGAAACAATAGCCAAGCATCTGCTAGTCTCTGCAAGATCCTACAAAATAAAGACTAAAATTTTACCTCAACTGACACCAATCAGTGAAGCAGATGCTGCAGAAACACTGAAAAGAATTTTGACATCGCTTTAATTGCATGTTGAAAGTTAAATAGTGTTCATCTCAGTGGGGCAGAGAGTTAAAGGCAAGGAAAAAAAGGATTTTTTTTTTGTCAGTTATTCTTTTTTATTATTTCTCAAAGTGTTCAAGTGTTTTCTGTATTGCAGACTCTGTTAGTTTGTTTGGCATTATTTAAGGTGATTTGAGAATGCTCTTTAATGCTGACAGACTTGTGACCAATGTAAGCACAGCAGCTTTTCAGTCTGAAGTACAATTACTTAGTATAAACGTACTTTTTTTGGATTTGAAAGTTTGTTAAACAATGTTACAGTTGCTGCAGACTTTTTTTAGATGGGATTATAAAACAGTGGTTGTATTTTAGAACTGGTGTGTTATCAGTGTTGTTCTCAGGCTAAAATCGAAAACACAGCACTGCACCAGCTACTAAGAAGGAGAAAAATGACTGCTACTGCTGAACCCAGGACACCCAGTAACTGAAATTCTGAAGCTGGCTTTAATACTTAGGAAGGAGACTTAAATTTTAAGGTGAGTTTTGTATCAGAGCAAGTAATTTTTGTGCATGTGGTGTCTATGTGAGACGTGAACTCTGATAAGTGTTATGAACTCCTGAAGCTGAAACTGATGACGCCACCAAATACTGACTGTGGCAATGATACAGATTGATAGAGATACAATTAGAGGAAACAGAAAAGTACATTACTGAAGTGAAAACAGCAGTTTTCTATATTCCACTCCAGCCACTTCCTCTTTTCAGTGATCTCTCCAGCTAAACATAGTAGCTACTTACAAGGAATCCACATGGTTTTCAGATGAATAATGCTTACATCATCAGGAACCTCACATTTACTCTGCTCCTTCAAATGCTGGATTTTCCCAGATAGTTTTTCAAGATGTTTCTGCTGTGACCAGAAAAGAAAGAAAAAAGCAGAGTTTCTTAATAACCAGTAAGAGTTCTGTTACTACATTCACTTAATCTTTAGGATGACAAGACCATATTCGTTGTTTTCAGTGCTTACAGTTTCTGTGTCAGTGTGGTACTTCCAATGAGGTTGTCTTTACTGCTGCAGTTGTGTACCTGGAATCACAGAATCATAGAATGGTTAGTGTTGGAAAGGACCTTAACATCACCTAGTTCCAACCTCCCTGCCATGGGCAAGGACACCACACACTACACCATGTCACCCAAGACTCCATCCAGCCTGGCGTTGAACACTGTCAGGGATAGAGCATTCACATGTAAACGCATTTACAAGAAGTTTATTCATTTGCTTTTCACCAAGGAATTTACTGGCAGGTACCCAACACAGACTCAAGCCTGTGGGTCAAAGCCCAAGCATCACAATTCCATAATGCTGACTGTAGAATTTATTTCACATGAGCAATGTGTATTGGGAAATCCCTGAAACCAGAAAAGATATGGTGCACTTTTCATAAACTTTCTTCCACTTATGTGCTCTATTACAAGATGTATGCAGGAGAAGACCCATGTTCTTACCAGGCCTCTTCTGAATCTCTGAAAAGAGTGCTTGATCTGATTCATTTCCATCTACAGTTCAGGTGTCTTTTAGTGGCAATTCACAATGCTCATTTATAAAACCACGTCTGGGTTATTTTACCACCAGAATACATGGTACCAGAAAAGTAAGCAGAAGCATTTGCAGAAGCTGCTTAAAATAGTACAACCTAATGGAAACTTCTCTGCAGTTTTCCCCAAGGGTAATAATGTTGTGAAGAATGAGCTTTTTCTCAGTACAGAAGAAATTTGGACAAAGGCAGTTGGTGTAAACATCAGTATTTCTGGATCATGGAAATACTTCAGTGCTATATGCATAAACAAAATACGGGTGGTTTTGAACCATTCTGTACATGCTGAAGAGAAAAACATAATACAAAAATCTTGAGTATTTATGTGGTACAGCTGATTATTCACAATGAGTTGGGAACATGTAAGCTGCAGCATCTGTCCCATTGTTGTTCTTGAGTACACATCAGCCCTTACCCTATGTCTTTAATTCACTAATGTTTATTGCTTGGTAATGGAAAAAGCATGTTGGCTGACTAAAGGACTTTTCTGCACGTGTTTGTGTAGGACCCATTCTCCAGGTGGGAACACAGAACGCCCCTAGAAGAGATCACTGAGAACCCCAAACAGTGTACAAAGATACAGTGCTCCAATTGATAGTGATCCTTACTGGCAGGATTTCAGTCTGAACAGAAGACTCCTTTGAAAGATACTCCTCTTCTATAGAATACTGCAAATGCCCTATACATAAAATCCCATGAGCCCTGTTTTTATTTTGGACAGGAGTGAGAAAGAGAGGATTTTGAGGGTTGTGGGTTTGTTTTTGTTTTTGTTTTTTTGTTTTGTTTTCTTTTTGTTTTTTTTTCCAGAAAGTGTAGATCTCTTATCTAGGAGGCAGATGGTCACAGTGGTCATACTCCCTGCTTTGTAACTGGCACTTGGTTTTGGCATGATAATGATTTCTTGTTCCCAAAAATAGCTTTAGAGACAGGGTCAATTATATTTTTGGATTGTACAGCGTGTGGAGCAATTAGTTGCACAAGGCAGTTGGTTTATAATGCAGTGCACTACTTTATAATTGGCACCCTTTTGAGGTCCCATTTATAATGAAGGGGTCTGGTATTAGCATGCAAATACGCTGTCTCCCCCCAGATAGTTTTACACACAGAGTCAGTTATATTTTTGCATTGCAGGATGTGTGGACTAATTAGCTATAGAGAAATGGGGCACTTGGTCTTCAGATTTCAAGATCTTACTGCACTAAGTGATTTTGAGACACTTTCAAGGGCAGACTGGTAAGTAAAATAGTAGAAGGAGGTTGCGCTGGCTCATTTCTCAGACTTTGAATGCAAAATGAGACATTTTGTAGTTCTGTTGTTTCATTATCCTTTACTGTCTAGATCACTGTGAAGTGGTCAGGTGCCACACACAGTACTCTGCAGATCTGGGTGAAAACTATGCACATGGGTTGGCCAGGTGGGAAACATCCTAGAACCAGTGTGGTTAGTAGTGTACTTTAGATTCAGATAGTAATACAGATTTTAATACACATGGTACACTGCTCATGATTCATCAACTGTTTTGATATCAACAACCACATCGCTTGATACAGTTAAAAGCTTTCATTTTTAATATAAAAATATCTGGACTACTCCCTTAGGAGAGCAGATAAATGAGGCAGGGAAACTTTTCATACATGGTATTTAAGACAAGATTTGTCCTTAAAGTATGCAAATCAAGCTGCAGCTCTGCTAAAAAAGTGGTGCTAAATCTAGAGATTAATTTAGGCTGATGTTTTATACAATTATTCTTCTTGCATGTAACAAGACTACAAATGAAGAAACAGGGAAATTAGTGAATTTGCTTTCTGTCTGAAGTCTTTATGAGGGAATGGTCATTTATAAAACATTGTTCAGAGGTACAGTATGGTTACTACAAATACTTTTCATTCGTAGTACGCTGAACAACCCTGTTGTATTGGCTGTTAGCAAGTGGTTGCCAAAATACTGGGGGCTATGAAGTTTAATTTTGGGGTTTAGTGAATGTGTTTTTAAAGGGAGTAATGTTCCATTCATCTGTCTATTTATGTATTTTCTTTTTGCTATGGGGGGAGCAGAGAAGAGATAAGAAATAACAATGCCAGCAGGGAATGAATGAAAATTACAGATTTGAAGCTCCCCAACAGAAAGGTTCCAACTCTAGCCTATATTATAGGTGTGGAGACTAAGTGATTGCATGTTCTTTTCACACCAAGGAAGAAAATCACACTTGTTCTTGATACCTAATAATGATACCACACAGTATGCACAGTCTGAAATCAAGCAGAGAAAAAAGATAGCTTTCCTGCTGCCCAAGGGAACTGATGGGATTTATACACATTTCTGAAGCATCTTTAAGAATAGATTCAAATGCTGGAATAATTTTAGAATACAGCAGAATCTCCTGTAGATGTTTCCTTAGCATCAGCCAGTACTGACACTAGGATATGGCAGTTCTTGCTGAAAGTATGGTTACTTGTAAACTACAGCCCCAAGTGTTTGAGGAATTTTATGTTATTAAGAAAGTGACGTAACAGCCCGTGAGGAGGAGACACATTTTAATGGAAATGGTCTTAAGAAAAGCTTTGGTAGTTTAGCCATTTTATTTCTTGATAACACATATGTACTACATGCTAAACTTTTATACAATATATACATTCTGTATATACATAGGTATTATATGAGTTACTGCTCCTATGTGAGAGAAAAAGGACTGTGTAGCATGTTCTCATCTGCTTGGCCAGGAAAATAAATTCTTCTGTGGACTACTCCTTTGGTCAAAGTAGGGAAAAAAGATGAGTAAAAAAATCTGGTGTGTTCTTTTTCTCTCAGGTAAAATTCTCTCAGCAGTGCAGGTGTTTGGAAGATACCTAACTAAGCTAGTTCAATAGTTTGAAGATTAATTTTTTTATCTAATGGCTTTGTAGGTCCCTGTTTTCTGAAGTTAAAAGTTTAAAAGTTAAATGTTTACAAAACACTATAAAATTGAATTTATTGCATGTCAGGATTGTCAGAATATGAATATATTTTTTCTAAACTTCAGCAAAATATGTAATTAGCTTGTTAGTTTTTACAAAACCCTGACAGACTAGAAGTCATGTTTTATGCCATTCTGGGTTTTGCTGGAATGTTCCTAAAACTGACACTCGAGTTAAAAACTTACACAGGTGTGGTTTGCTTAGACCAATGAATTTTTTCATGACTTTGCATGAGAAAAATAGCAAGAGATTATTTGAAAACTGGAAGTTTTATGTTGTTTCAAATCATATTTGGAGATGTTCTGTTAAAAGCAATGCCTTGTGCTTTAGTCAAGAGAAAAGGTTAGCCTAGGATATAGCTTGTTCCTGAATTTGTCAGAAATACATTTTCTCCCCCATACCTCTCAACATGCAGCATAAGTGTTCCTCTGAAGAGAGGCTGCTGCTTCAGATGTCACATAAGATCACTTTAACTTCTTACCTCAGGATGTGCATCTTATCTTTATCTTTCCTGAGCATCACTCACTCTTAAGAAATTTCTACTCTGTGAATACAGACCTTTAATACAATAAAAAAACAGATGACCATGTATATTATGCCATATGATGTTTCCACCGTAGTCAAAATTAATTGCTATAATCATTAAAGTTATTTCAAATTAACAAACTTTTACTCTTTCACTGGTCGTAATCTTAAAACAGTCCCAAACAATGGCATCCACATCCTGGGAAATTATTGGGAGTTATTACTATTTAATTAGTGTTTATGTAAGATTCTTGCAGTCATACATACTGGTCTTACATACTGGTGAGCAACTGTGAATAGAAACTGGATTCAGATTGACTAATATTGTTGGAATTCAATTAACTCAGGGTTTTGGTTGAAAATGTATCTATCTCTGCTTTTGAATTGCATTACATCCTTTAAAATATTCCTGGTAGGACTGGACTAACAGCACAACAAGCTAATCATAAACATATCAAATGCATTAACTCCAAATTTACTTGCAATTTGGAGGAGACAACATTCCTAATTTATTAAAGGAATAGGTGCACGCTACTTTTTGTCTCAAATTCTGGTGTCTCAGCTGCTTTTTTTCCATGTGACATTAAAATGATATGAATGTATCATACCCAAGATTCGTTAGAAAAGCACCAGTCTCATGTAGGTGTAGGATGGCAGATGGTCATGTCTTTGTATCAATAGTACAAATGAATGTGCTGTTCATTTTTAGTGATGTAAATTCAAAAAAGCATATCCAGTTTCTCAAAATATAAACCTGAAGGATACTGGGAAATCCATTTTTATTAAATCTTTGTATTTTTTATAGAGACCTTGTGATAAGTTATTTCTGAATAAAA